TTGGGTCAGGGTCATGAAATTTTCAGGGTAGGTGTAGAATTGATTAACGCGAGGGTACTGAAAGTTTCGTCGCGATCGGCCGCTTTTTACGCGAGTTATTCGCGAAAAACCATGGGGGGGTCCGTTCGACCCCCCCCCCCCTATACGGGCGAGGGTTAAGTCATGTTCCGTGAACCTGATTGTGACTCTCCCACGGCGGGAACAGTTCACCGATCGAGAGTGAGGTTATGGATTGTCGGATCCCCTAGTTCAGATAACGTATGCTATCGTGTGCGTATTGACCGTTGTGATTCCTGTATTTCCGGCGTGTGGTTTGTGAGCGGACGCCGGCAATCGGTCCCGCGTGGCCTGGTATATGCCCGATCCCATCGGCCGTGCTGGCACCACGCCTGTTGAAGGCCCCGTCAGGCGTCAGTCACCGGCTGGGCACTACTGCTGATCAGAGCCGGGCAACAAAATAAAGGTTATGTTATGGAACATGCCAGTGAGTTTGTGAGTCAGGAGATTTTGTGAATTGTGATAGCGAACGCTGGTGCTCGGTCCCGCATGGCCTGCTGATGTCTATTGTCTGCCCGATCCCGTCGACCGTGCCAACAACCGTCTGTAGACAGTAGTCACTGGAAGACAGCCACACACACACGCCAGCCCCCCCCCCCCCTCGACGAAAAGTGCGTGGCTACAGCCTGCAGCCATCAGTAAGCCTTGAAAATTTTCGGCGCATGAAGCATGGCTTGGTAAAATAATTTCGGCGCATAAACCCTTGCGCCGAAATTTCGGCGCATCACCTCCGCCGAGAACTTCAGCGTAGTGGAGGCATTTTTTCCAGTCGGGCCTTCAGCCATCCTCATCCCTGAAAATGTTTGCCTATTTTATTTGTTATGGTCTAAGCAGTAGTTGAAAGGTTAAACCTCCCTTTCTGGGGATGTTGATATTGTGTAAAAAGTGATGTGGTGCTAATGGATCCTTCACCAATGGTACTCCAAATCATCTGTTCTTTATCTCCATTTCTCATAGAGCCAAGTACAACCTGAACTGGATGTCGCACGACGCGGCGATCGCGCTCATCAGCCGAGCGCGGGAGGCCGGCGTCAATGTGACCCAGGTGTTTGTCGACACTGTCGGTCCGCCGGAGAAATACCAGGTGCGATAGAAGGGAACTGGTGGGGGTTGTGTCGCTATAATGCTGTCTGATTGCCTGGGGAAGTGCTCGGTTGGATAAACGGGAGAGATGGTGTATTTGCAGTTGATGTGATTCACTTGAAAAAGTTTGTCGTAGAAACGCGTAGTTGCCTCTGGCTGACCACGCGAGTAACAGGATAGATCCGCCGCTCGCCCGTCATGGCTTCGTAACTTCTCACCCACTATTAGAATCTATGAATGCCCCGCACATCTCACTCTGGACGAGCCCCGCCCTGCCCCCCCATAGCGGTTCAGGTCACTGAGGCGGGCTGGGCGACCGACTTGATCCGGTCACGCCCCACCCCGGGCGGCGCACGAGCGCTCCCAAGCAGTCTATACAGGGCGGCTCGTCCTGGGCCCTGTTTCACGGCACGCCGAGAGCGCTCATTAACCCTATTTTTTAGCTCATTAACCCTCCAACGTATCGGCCGTCGGCCGACCGCCGCCTGCCCCGGCTGCGCGGACGCCGGCTGTCCGGCCGCCCGGTGCCTGGTGTGCGAGGAGGAGGCGGACACCCCGCAACACGTCCTGCTGCGCTGCCCGTGCCTCTGCGGGGCCCGCCTCCTCGCCATGGGCAACATTTACGGACGCCCCACCAACTTGAAGTTGAGACGGGACGACGTGGTGGCGCCCTTGGCCGCCGGCTTTCGGTCTTTCCAGGGTCGAACGACTACGCCCCGGTGACGAGGCCGAGGGGAACACAACAACAACAACAACAGCGCTCATTAACCCTCGCCGGACCTATTGGTTTTCTACATACGCGCCGGCCGAGGGGGGGGGGCGGGTACGACCCCCCTCGCCGTTTTGCCCCTGGTGGAGCTAGCGCGTCGCGGAAAAAACGAGCGTGTGCGCCGTTACGAGACGCAGAGATTGGTACCCGATTTTAAGGTCCTAGGTCAAGCGGTGACCGCTAAGGTCAGGGCAAGTGCCCCAAGGTACGGTTCAGTTTTTGGTGAATAACTTCGCAAAAAAAAAAAACGGTCGCAGAGCCCCGATTTTGGCAGCATCGTGTTTGCCTCGCTCAGGCGCGTCGAATGATATACTTTTTGTTCGGTCACGAAAATGACCTGACCTCATATGACCTTTAGGAAAAAATCCGAGATATACAAGTTGTGAGACTCATAATGGATACTAGATCCTGCAAGTTTCATTTCTCTGTGACATCTCCTCTGGCAGTGAGGGCGTTGTGAAGTTGCGACATCTGAAGACCGTGCAGAGGCTCACTTATGACGTCAGTGACCTGACCTGACCCAAAAATGCGGTTGGTGTCAAAAGATCCGGCTTGAATCAAAGGTCAGGTATTCCAAGTTTCAGCTCTCTATCGCCAGCGTGTTCGGAGCTATCGCGAAAAAAAAACTATGGGGGGCGGCACCCGCCCCCCCCCCCCTCGGCCGGCGAGGGTTAATGCTATTGCGCCTTCGGTTTCCATCGAAACAACCATTTTCATCGTGAAACTTGGACGCTCACAATGAATTATGTAGATGTTTCCGTGGAAACCGAAAGCGCAATAGCCCCAGTGAGCGCTAGCGGCGTGCCGTGAAATAGTCACGGACTCACGTGACCATGGAAAGTGCATCATTTCCGGGCAATAAAAACTCATGTATCGCACCATGCTTCCCATACACTGTTGTCCTGTTCAGCACCTCCGCTCTGCCGGCAGGCCAAGCTGGAGGCTCGCTTTCCGGGCCTGCAGATCACAGTCAGCAAGAAGGCCGACGCCCTTTTCCCCACCGTCTCGGCGGCCAGTATTTGCGCCAAGGTGGTGCGCGACCGTGCCCTGGAGACCTGGCAGTGCCCCGAGACGGTGCCGATGGACGTCACCAAACTGGGCAGCGGCTACCCAGCAGGTCAGTCGGCGGCGCTGGCAGTGTGGCGTTTGGGATGGGCCGGCCCGTACGCTGACATGACGGCTGGCGTGGATGTTGGGGAGCGCACATTTAGATGGTTTTTGGCGGGTGTTTGAAGTTAATTGAAATAAATGGTGTATCTTTTTAGCTGTCTTGTCACAGCTTATGTGAAAAAAGTTGGTATGAACTGGTTACAGTGGTTACAACCTTTTCATACTGAGAAGAAAAATGAAATGTTATGATCTGACGCAATTTTCTGCCTCGTCACCATGTGCTCATGGCCTACTCGCCCCACGGTCCGCGCGGCTTATCGTTTGAATACCGATCATATATTTGGTTTTCTTTCTTTCGCCGCCGTGACGTCTCGTCCTTCATATCATTTGTCTTCTTGACGAAGTTCTCTGTCGCCAGACCCGCAGACGAAGCGTTTCCTGGCGGAGGGCATGGACCCCGTGTTCGGGTTCCCCAGTCTGGTGCGGTTCAGCTGGTCCACCTGTCAGACGCTGCTCGACAAGTCTGCCGTCGGAGTACAATGGTAAGTGAGCGTCAGAGGTGGTCAAATCTGCCTTATTGTACTGTTTTGTGATTGAGAATGAAACGGGGTTGTATTATTCTTGAACATGTATCTTGTACGGCGCTGTTTTGAACGTAGTAGCCCGTGCACTAGTGAATGGTTCCCCATTCACCAGTCCATGTCCTCCATTGTTTATACCCGTAAATTTGTGGATGTTCAATTTCCTAGCATGATTAAACACTCCCTGTTGTATTGTTCGGTGACGATTTTACCCTGTTCATACAGCCGATACACTTGTAAGTTTCAAAACCCAGTCTTTGTTATTAGGCAGGTGTCGATAAAAACTAGTTCTCTACTTTTTTTCTTCCTTCATCGTATGTTAGTTCATCGTCGAGAGTTCATCGTATGTTAGGCTCATCAGGCTGCCTACTATCACTTGTCACATGTGTGTGTGTCAAGTGTCAATCCTGTGTCTGATTTCACAACCTTCTGTCTGCTCAGGGAGGAGTCTGATGAAGAGATGGACGAGGCGGCGCAAAACACCCCCTCCGTAGCCTCGTTCTTCGGTGGCGGATCGGCACAGCGGCACGTGTTCTTCACCGAGTGTCGGCTAAAACCGGCGGCGCCGCTGTAAAGTGTCGTCCTCTACCGCAGGGGACGCGTCCTCCGCTACGGAAGGTCGGTTCGCGGCCGCTCGGGAGCGGTCACAGTGCTCTAGGCTAGTGGGTTAGGATTCGGCGGTGGTTTGGGGGCTGGGGCAGAATGGAAAGTGGATGGACTGTGTTGTGGACGGACTGACATGGGCAGATCACTGCCAAACGTTGACACACAGACTGTGGCATTGGACAGACAAAAGTGTAGACAGACTATCATGGCAGTGGACAGACTGGAAGTCGACAGACTGGAAATGGACAGACCGGAATGTGGAGGACAGACAGACCGCTGTTGTTAGAGTGTGAACATGCCGTGAAAGGGGCAGAATGATGAGAGGGCCGATGAAACTCGCGGGCTTCCCAGTACAATGTCAATGCAGAGATGTCGTAGGTATGTGTACTGTGTAGTTTGTGCCAAGGAGCGGTTCACCGGTTTATCTGCTGTAATGTACATTGTACAAAGCTTGCTAGGATCCCATTTTCGAGGTAGACTGAAGAAGCAACTTTCTAAGACTTATACTGAGTCATCCCTTACCTAAAATGCGTGAATACATTTTCTTTTTAATTGTGACTTTTTACGCCCTGGTAAAACTAAAATTATTTTGCATTTTCCTCGCAAGCATCGTAGTTTCGCCGGCAGTGGACGCACTTGCTGATGGTAATACTGTATCGTCCAGTAGCTGTTTTATTCGCTGCTCAACTGCACATCGAACATCTGTCGTTCATAAACTTCCTCCGTGTGACTCACAATAGATGTATGGTGACTGGCGGCAATAGTTTCCTCATCAGTCCCGTATACTCCAGCACTTCGTACATCCTTTGTATTTCATGTAACCCCATTGAAGTCTCACACAAGATACGCTTCACCATCATTTATAGTTTTTGGCGACATGATGCCTGTGACACGAATTGTGTCTGACTTTTTACGAAAGAGCCATTTTATCAAGATCTTTCAGTACAAAAAATGACTATACTTGACGCATTATAACGACTATCGTCGATAGCTATCGATGTTTAGTCATTAGATAGATAAGTATCTTGGTCATTGCGATATCCGCACTGGTTTCTCATATGACTCACTGATATTTCCAAAACGTCACTGACACCTCACTGACACAATACGGGTCAGCCCCTGTTGGATCCGCAATATGCGATATCCACACGCTCCCCGCACGCCTCTGTGATGAGTTGTCGCAGCGTTCCGTCCCGCCTTCTACACCTCCGCCATGACAGCGGCCATCCACTCGGTGTAGGCCTGCACGCGCGTGTACAGGCCGGGGATCTGACCTCCGCAGATGACCCCGCCCAGACTGACCACGCCCACCAGCTCGTACTGCATGCCCGTGTCCTGGGGTCACACGGGGGGGGGAGGGGAGGGGATGATACACACGTGCGCATGTTACATATCGAGGGCTTGCTGACATACATTCACGCATCAATACCATGTAGATATTCGTACACAGTAAATATGCGTAAACTCATGCATGCGGTGCATATTTTATCTCGCCACTGAGCTGTATATTGTATAAGGGCCCGACGGAGCCGCTACAGGCCTGTTTTAGGGGTCGTTGGTCAGCTAGTCTGATCTACGTAACTCACCTGTATGAGTGGCCCTCCGGAGTCTCCGCTGCAGCTGTCGACGCCCTGGCCTCCGGCACACAGCTGAATGGTGTCCCGCACCGGGATACCGAACCTGGCCGGAGTGCAGGCCGTCAGTTAGGGACGAGGAAAGCGACGAACAGGACCTGATATCTCAGTTCACACTATCATAGTGAGTGAGTAGTAGTACCTACATAGTATCACAGTGATTGAAATGAGAAGCCGAAACAACTCTAAATGCGGGGCTTTATTCCCGGCATAGCGCACACTCCCGTAGCAAATAAGAATGGGCACCAGCATTGCGGAACAAATGGGAACCAGCATTTAGGAACAGCATATAAGGACACTTCGACCATCGTTGGCTGCTGTCCTCAAATAATTTATCGTTGGTAGGAATTGAATACTGAACAGTGAATTTGTCCTATTGCGCCCCTCGATGTCTATTCGAATTGCGTAAATTGTCTAGTCAGTTGGTAGCTCGTCTTCTCTTCTGAGAGAAACATTTGAGTCTGGATGACTGTTTTACATATTGTCTGCTGTGCTTCACTGTGCCAGTCGTCTGCTGTGCGATGTGCTGTTTTATATATCTGCTACCGTGCGCCTACCGTGCGGTGTGGCGAGGAGCAGTGGTTACCTGCCGAAGTGTTGTCTGCAGACTGTGCCGTTCACCTGTGTGACGGTCACCTCCCTCAGCCGGTCGGTGCCGTGACGCACCCCTGCCGGTAACGGTACACAGGTCACAGTAGGACACAAGCACATAACACACATTTGTGACCGCTAACTCCCTCAGCCGATCAGTGCCGTGACGCACCCCTGCCGGTAACGATACAGGTCACAGTGAGACACCAACACATAGCTAGACACATAAGCATTTGTGACCGCTAACTCCCTCAGCCGGTCGGTGTCGTGACGCACCCCTGCCGGTAACGATACAGGTCACAGTGGGACACAAACACATCAATAGACACATGTGTCATGCCAATGTGTGACCGCAGCCTCCCTCCCCCCCCCCCCTCCCCCCACACCCTCCCGCGACCGGTGGCAATCAAGAAATGGCAGTGTGAGACAAAAACACAACCCATGACATACAATGATGATACATATGCATACATGCGAGTAACATCAATCACTGTTCCATCCATAAGCAATTTCATTTCATCCATAACTATTTCGTCCATGGACGTACAGGCATTATCCGGTTCATACCGGACAAACGTTTTTTTTAACATTCCGGACAAACTTACCGTCGCTGCCCCATCCCGACACTATGAACTCGTTCTCCTCGGCATTCGGTGTGACGGTGGCGGCGGGCTGGTCTTCGCTCGGTATCTCCACCGGTGGACGCAGCACTCCCGGCAGACACACCGGCGAAATGTTCTCTGCAATGGGCGTACAGGCCAGTTAGGAATCGCGGAGTTCACTTTGTGGTAGGAGGAAGCGAAAGTTCGTTTCATCCAAAGACTGTCGTTTTTCGATAGGGTGTTCTCAGTGTTCACTGTTCCTGTGCAAAGTTCATAACAACAATGCAGTAGCTGTGGTTAGGTTACATGATAATCTGTTCGGTGTTCCTGGAAGAAGCGATATTTAGCTCATTTTCCTTACATTTGTCCGATGAACATTTTCCCCTTTTAAAGATCAATGGGTTTCGTCAGCTGTTACTGTAATTGACAGGTTATGCAGCTGATCTTCATGGAGGTGGTTTGTTTATTACCTGTCTGATTGACCCTCCTGTCCAGTCGGATGAGGGCGGCGGTTGCCTGTGTACCTGACCTTCCTACGGGCGGCGTTTACCTGTGTAGTTGACCCTCCTATCCAGCCGGTGAGGGCAGTTGTTAGTTACCTGTGCACTTGACCCTCCCGATGTCGTGTTTTACTTGTGTAGTTGAGCCTCCTGATGTGTGTTACCTGTATAGTTGACCCTCCTGTTACCTGTATAGTTGACCCTCCTGTTACCTGTATAGTTGACCCTCCTGTTACCTGTGTAGTTGACCCTCCTGTTATCTGTGTAGTTGACCCTCCTGTTATCTGTGTAGTTGACCCTCCTGTTATCTGTGTAGTTGACCTTGCTGAGTTCTCACAGCGGCGGTTACCTGTGTAGTTGACCCTCCTGTCCAGCCGGATGAGGCGGCGGCCACCTGTTTAGTTGACCCGCCTTGTTACTTTTGTAGTTGACCCTACTGTTACCCGTTTACTGTGTAGTTTACCCTCCTGTTACCTGTGTAGTTGACCCTCCTGTCCAGTCGGATGAGGGCGATGTCGTTACTGTACTCGGGCCGACCGGTGTAGTTATCGTGCACGATGATCCGCTCCGGGATGGCGTCCACCACCGGCCCGTCGTTGTCGTTGAACAGATCGTGCTCGCCCAGACGAACCCGCTGGCTGGCGACGCGATAGTGGGATGTCAAACGCATTCATGACCAACATGGTGCATGTTTTGAACAAAACTACTTGTAAAGTGAGATTGATGTAGTGATCTATTCAGTAGCGGCGGAACACCTTCAATTAAGGAGGGGGGGGGGGGCATTGCCGACTTTTGGTCCCATTCTTTTCATGCAACGGTCATAGGGCTAATGTTAAGATGGCAAAATCAAGGGGTCACGGTGCCCGGTGCCCTGGTGCCCCCCCCCCTTCCCCGTTCCGCCGCCTATGGATGTATTGAGACTTGGGGGAAGCTCGCTTTACATCAATTAGGCTGTGATATGATTTAAAGCTTCTCCTTAAAAATGTTATACTTTGAATGGAAATCGTAAAGGCATCCCTCATCTTGTCTCATCTTCGAAGAAGCATCTATAATCGATGCTTGCGACCGCCCTGCCTGAAGGCATGGTACGCGGCCCTTTGGCCTCTACCACAAGCTGTTGCGTCTCTGAACCCCACCAGGGCGCCACTCACAGGTCTGTGACCACCTGCAGGCCGTCGGCGGTCTCCTCCGTGACGCAGTGTGCTGCCGTGACCACGTGCCGGGGCCCGACCAGCGTGGCGCCGCACGCCCAGTACACGTCCTCCGGCACTGGCGGTCAGAGACGGGTTGCGGGGACGGTTGAGTCGCTCTGGGTCATGGAAAGGTCACATGGCATCTATTAGTGAGTTTCACCATAGCATTTCGATGAGTGAACTAACCCATAAGACATGCATTGCATTTGCACGCATCCCGTTCGCCAACTGATTTATGACTTCATTTCATGCCCTGACTTGGCTGATTTTCATATATGTAATTATTGTGCCCACTGCCCTGATAATGTTGAAACCTGGCTGCCCTACATACCGAAGACATAGCCGAATACGGCGATCTTTGGACCTGGTCCGTTTTCGAATGTTTCTATATGCACCGAAGTTATAACCGAGTACGGCGGTCAACAACCCGCTGTCGGGTGTTATTACGTACCGAAGTTATAACCCAGCACGGCGATCAACAACCCGCTGTCGGGTGTTATTACGTACCGAAGCCATAGCCCAGCACGGCGATCAACAACCCGCTGTCGGGTGTTATTACGTACCGAAGCCATAGCCCAGCACGGCGATCAACAACCCGCTGTCGGGTGTTATTACGTACCGAAGCCATAGCCCAGCACGGCGATCAACAACCCGCTGTCGGGTGTTATTACGTACCGAAGCCATAGCCCAGCACGGCGATCAACAACCCGCTGTCGGGTGTTATTACGTACCGAAGCCGTAGCCGAGCACGGCGATCCACGGCCAGCTGTGGGGAAGCGCTTCGACACCGCCGAAGATGCGCGTGGCCAGCCTGCCGAAGCCGCACTCATGGAATTCCTCGTGCTCGTCCAGATAATCCAGCTCCTCGTGCACCTCTTGGCTGGGATCGCTGGACGAGAAGAACCGCGCCACTAGTTCGCCTTCCTCGGCGGCTGAAGACGTGTTGGCGGGCGCCTCCGCTGGCTCCGGTACTGGGTCGGCAGGTGCTTCAGCTGGTGCTACAGCTGTGTCAACGGCTTCTGATGGTGTCGAGGCTGGCTCAACGGGAAGCTGCTCTGGCTCAGCAGCCGGTTGCTCGGGTTCAGCAGACGGCTGCTCGGGCTCAGCAGGCGGCTGCTCGGACTCTGCAGGTGGCTGCTCGGGCTCAGCAGGTGGCTGCTCGTGTCTTGTGTCGGTTTTCGGAGTCCCCGTCTCGGCCTCAGTTGAGGGCGGCTGCTCGGGGGATGGAAGTATATCGTTTTTATAGCAGCACACGAATGGTTTCCTGTCCACTATCCTGCCGGACAGACGGGGTGACAGATGAAACATGACTGTATGCGGGACTTTATGCTCAAGTCATTGGTCCCTGCTTCAGTGCCTGTGTTGTCAGGTATGGGTAATGGGTATCAGTGGTGCACCCGATTTGTAGATGGACCTTTGTCCGACGACATAAACATAAGGAATATCTTAACCGATTTGAAACATTTACTCGCGTTCAGTTTTACATTATTCTTTTCTCGGGGGAATTAATACCTCATCGGTTGCACTGTACCTATGGCGTGTGTCGCCCCATCCTCGTGCCCGGCGCCCATTGGCATTCCGTCGCACCCAGCCGCGACTCACCTGCACGTGCTGGCTTTCAGTCTGCGTACACTCTGAATGGTGGGCAGGCTGAGCAGCTCATAGAGCTTGGGGCAGCTGCTGATGGGAACGCACTCGGCCTTCTGGTGGCAATCCCGGTGGAAACTGCTGCTTCGGGCCTCCACCAGCACGGGAAACACGTCCCCCAGCACTGCGGGAAGATATACGCGACGGGTTGTCATCTGGGGACCTGAGACATGGTTAGTTATCGAATACGGTACAGGATGAGTGGCCGAGAGGTAACTGATTGGTTATGTACAGCAATTAGCTCTGGTCCAGCAGTTAGCTCTCAGAGCTAACTGCTAACCGGATGTGCAGGTCGCAGGCCTCTCGGACGTTCTGGGGTGTGCAGGAGTTTCGGACGGTTCTGTCGCGTGTCGCCGCTCCGAGCGCGAGACTTTACTCGGTCAAGGCCTTCCGACTCCATTCAGGCGCGCTCCTCCCAGACAGTTACACGCCGTTGTTTATTTATGGAGCCGTCGTATACACGCGCTGTGACATAGGTCACACCGCTGCCAACTTTTCGATCGCTCTGGCGGCAACACCTCTCCCAGAGCTTTGGATTTGCGAGGAACGAAGCCGAGGTGGGGAACGCAAGTCGCGGTGGTTCACTGAGTGGTTAGACTGTCCCGCCGGACACCGGTGCATTGCGGGTAGCCTACAGAGTAACTGACATAGAGCACAGTGTGACAGTTCAAGTTGTTCGGCAACCGACAGTCTTGTTTATGTTTTGCACGTTTAGTTTCAGGCACGGCTACCAAATTGATAGCACTCAAAGCTAGCGCTACGATAGAGTTCGGCAAGATGGGTGACCCGGGGCAAATCAGTTGGGTAAGGGTTGGATTCACTTTGTGCGTGCATGGGTCGCTATTGAGCTCGCTCATTCCTCGTCCAAAAGGCGCTTGCTCATCATTGCACTGTGGTTAACATGAGTCAGGTATTTACTATTTAATATGAGACATTACTTCGCTAGGTCAAGTTTAAAGTTATGGCCGTGCTTTTTTCGTGCATGGTCCTTAAAGGAAATAGTTCACTTTTAACATGGGGTTTGGAACTGGAATAGCAGTTTTGTTGCTTGCGCTGAGACTAGCACAAATCAGAAGCTTTTACGGCCCAACGATCACCCTAGACGAAGATATTCCATTTTTCGTTCCGAAAAGAGTGCCTTGCAGAGGAATGCGTGCCTTGCTGAGGAATGCAGTCACGTCATCGTCAGCCAATCAGAATGCTGCTTACAGCCGATGGGTTTGTCCTACGCAATATGATTGGTCAACGCGTAATAAGCTTCCGCGTCAAACATTATTTTATATAGAATATAGTTCTTCTTATACTAAAATATGGAAAATAATCCTTTTTACAAAAACGTTTTGTTTTATTTTCTGATCATTTTGAGCATAAAAAAACATACATCCATAGCAAAATACTAATTTCAGGAAAGTGAACTATTTCCTTTAACAGTAAATACTTTGTTTTCAGCTGAGACCTGCTCTGCACCTGCCTGAGGTTTTGCACTTCTCTCCTTGTCCCTTTGCCTCGTGCCCTGCGGGTGACCGGGACTGCCTGGCAGTCTCAGTGCACAGTCGGGCGGATTGAAACGGTCGTGTTTATTTATAATATTGCAGCGACTCGGGTCGTTGGACGGCGGGCCGAGCGGCCCGGTCGGATCGGACGGAACTTAAAACCCTGGCTGGTAGGACAGATTCCTCCTTTATCCTCCCGCTTGGAGTCTGATCGTATAGCATCCGACTAGAACTAAAACGGTCATGCCATTGCAAGTGTTGAGAAGATTGATATGTAGGTATAGCGGCCCGTAAGATGGAAATCCCGTTTGCCAGTATTGTTTAGTGTTATGACTCGTGGAATTCCCGTTCGCTGAATATCTGTTCAATGGACGGCTGCTAGAAATATGCTAGGCTAATATTTGCGTTAGCATATACGCTTCAGTCCAAAATGACTTCGATAGGCTTTTATATTTATGCGCTGAACCGTAGAAGCTTTCCCTGTTACATGTTCCTACCTACCTATACAATCATGACTTTCCTGAACAGGTTTGATGGATTGTAAATATGCCTATAATCAGCTCAGCTGCCAACACTATTATAAATTGTGACGTTTTTAGCTTTGGAAGATCATGATGACTTCGTGGCTGCTCGGTGACTATAGGCGACTAGTGACTACAGTAGAAGTGTCGTACTCACCTGGATCATACTGTGGTAGCTCGAAGGTGGCGCTCGCTCCTACCGCCACCAGCAGCAGCAGGGCGGCTATCCTCCGTGTGCGGTCCATCGTGCCGAGCGTCGTCACCGTCAGCCCACCCGCCTCCAGCGGCCACCGCGTCCAGCGACTGAGCCCTGCGCGAGGAGCGGGCCGGCCCCGCGCCGCGCCTGGAAATTCCGCCGCCCGACGCGACGACAGCTGACCGCTGTCCATATCGTGACGTCACAGCCGTCCCGAGACCGTGACGTTATACTGTAGCAGCCCCCCCCCCTCCTCCCCGATACACACATGCACACATACCTACACTACACTTATGAGAGTCGACCATTATAAAACGTATGTTTTCTTTCGGCGCACGGCGCACGCTGAGTACCTACCTAAAGAAAAGTTGGAACATCTTTCTGTTGGTCCCGTGGCAATAGGACGTTTAAAAACAAAGACATGTGGGAGAACGAAATTGCGCCATTTGGCCGCGGAGACGGCTCGGGAATTTTGACAGAGAGGTTACTTTGGTTTGCATGGGGCCAGACCAGGTTACATATGCCATATTTACTTTTTTAGGTCACACTGGGTCAGGACAGGTCACAGCTTTACTATTGGACACGAAGGGACACCCGAATCGCAAGTCACTCGGGTTATCTTCCTTGAGACGTCACAGTATGTCCATGACGGCCGGTCGAAAAGACGAACACAATACCAATCAATTACCGGAATGTATGCGACTGCATCGGTCGTTTTTTGAGAATGTTACCTTAGGTGATACCGTACCCACCCCTGTTATATACCCATTTCCGTGGCCCTGAAAGGTCAACAAGACGATTCCGCCTATACATTGGTATGACTTACGATAAATGGATCATACCTGAATTGTCCATACATTGGCCAATGTCATACCCTACCTACTTGGTATCTGAGCGTCTACTCGGCGGATTAATTAAAACTAAAACAACATAAATGGTGTCCTACGTGATCTCGTCGTCGTCGTCGCCGCTCCCTCTAGCCACCCCAAGCGGGCGTAGCCACTGCCAGACGGCTCAGTTGGGCGCGGAAGCCGGCGGCAAAGGCTGTGGTGTGGTGCCCTCGGAGAGCCGGCGAAGTCTTCAGATGTCGTAGTCGGAGAGGGAGAGGCTTTGGAGAGTCAAACGGGATTCGCCACTGTCATCCCTCGTACTGGGTAGATGTCCCAGCCGGTTGGGCCGTGTCCCCCGTGCACTCTCCTCCACCCCTATGATCGATACCCTCCTCAAGGTGGACGCTGGCCCGTCCCAGTGGTGCCCGTAGGGCTAAACCGCGCCGTAGGAGGTATAGGCGTATATTTAAACGAGTGAGGCTCGTGTCGATCAAAGAGACCAGTTGAACAACGGAACTGAACAGTTTGGCTTTACATTGTTGAGCCACGGAGAACATTGGTAGTAACGGTGAAAGTAAAAGTGACATCTGTGTGTAGCGGCGCAAGTAGAGCTTCGCGGTCTGCCGCCAGGGGCAGACTGAGCAAGCGAGGTGGCGCAGCTGTCGCTACACCACCCTCCCCCCAGACACGTCGCTGTGGAACGCGACGTGGAGAAAACGCGCTGGTGGGCGCACAACACGGCCGGATCGTGTCGTGCGGAGACACGGTCGTAGCGGTGGCGGCGGGGGCGGCGGCGGGGGCGGCGGCGGTGGCGGCTCAGGGCGAAGTGGCGGCAGGAGGAGCCGCGGCCCAGCGGCCGGCACCGCCGAGTTCGAAGGTCGGCTGACGGGGCCGCAGTCGGCCGCCGCGGCCGGGGCGTCAGGCGGCTCTACGAAGGCCGGCTTGACGCGGTCGATGGACACTGTTTCCTCGCGGCCGTTTCGCAAGATGCGCACAGTTTTGTCACCGCACTGCTGCACTCGGTACGGCCCGTCGTACGGGCACGCCAGCGAGGGTCGCGCCTCTCGTCGAACGAACACATGAGACGCGTCCCGGAGTGTCTGCGGCACGAAGCTCGGCCGGTGAGTGGCCGAGGCGCGCGGCACCACTGGCGTCAGGTCCCGCATGTAGCGGCGGAGCTCAGTGGCGTACGAGGCTGGGTCCGTGACGGCGGCGGTCGGCGCGTCGCCGAGGAACTCGGCCGGCAGGCGGAGTGGCTGGCCGTACACCAGTTCCGCGGCTGTGCAGTCCAGGTCCGTCTTGACGGCTGAACGGACGCCGAGTAACACCAGCGGGAGCGAGCGGGTCCAGCGTTCGTTCCCGTGGGCCCGGAGGGCTGCCTTCAGCTGGCGATGCACCCGCTCGACGAGTCCGTTTGCTTGCGGGTGGTAGCTGGTGGTCCGGTGGCGGGTGCAGCCGAGGATGGCAGACAGTTCTTGCCAGAGGTGCGACTCGAACTGCGAACCTCTGTCGGTGGTGACACGTGTCGGCACGCCGAAGCGTGCGATCCAGCCGGACACGAATGCATTGGCGACGGTGGGCGTCTTGATGTCAGGGAGAGGGATAGCCTCCACCCAGCGGGTGAAACGGTCCACGCAGGTGAGGAGGAAGGTCTGACCTTCGCTGGGCGGCAGCGGGCCTACCAGGTCGATGTGAATTTCCTCGAAGCGACCGGAGGGAGGCGTCCATGTTGCTACCGGAGCGCGGGTGTGCCGGTGGACCTTGGAGCGCTGACAGGCGACACAGCTGCGGGTCCAGTCGCGCACGTCCTTGCTCAGTCCCGGCCAGACGAAACGGCTGGAGATGAGCTGCTGTGTCGCGCGGGCGCCGGGGTGCGACAGACCGTGCAGCAGCTGGAAGTAGTGCCGTCGGAGGGCAGTTGGGATGAGCGGTCGCGGTGAGCCGGTCGACTCGTCGCAGAGGAGCGAGCTCCCTCCAGCGAGCGGTACGGCGCGCACCTGCAGGCTGTGGGGCGTGTCGAGGTACGCCTTCAGCTCGCCGTCTTCCTGCTGTGCTGCCGCGAGTGCCTCGAAGTCCTGAAGCGGCGGCGTCGGCGACTTCAGCATGCTGACAGTCCGGGACAGTGCGTCGGCCACCACGTTCTCGCTGCCCGGCACGTGACGGACGTCTGTTGAGAACTGGCAGATGAAGTCGAGATGCCTGATCTCCCTGGGCGAGTAGCTGACAGAGCCGGAGCCGATGGCCGACACAAGTGCCTTGTGGTCGGTGAAGATGGTGAAGGGGCGGCCTTCAAGAGAGTGCCGGAAGTGTTTCACCGCCAGGTACACGGCCAGCAGCTCACGGCCGAACGCACTGTAGCGGGTCTCCGGCGGTTTCAGCGTCCTGGAGAAGAATGCCAGCGGGCTCCAGGCTCCGTCGATGTGCTGCTGTAGCACGGCGCCGACCCCGGTGTCCGAGGCGTCAGCCTGCAGACTCAGCGCGGCCCCGGGCGTGGGGTGCGCGAGCTGGGTGGCCTGTGACAGGGCGATTTTGACGCGCTGGAAGGCGTTCTCTGCGTCTGGTGTCCACTCCAGCGGTGCAGCGCGTTTGCGCTTGTGGTCCAGGAGACGGTGCAGCGGACATAGGAGGCTGGCGGCACCCGGCAGGAAACGATGGTAGTGGGTTACCATACCGATGAAGCGGCGTAGCTGGCGCTGCGTGGCGGGCTGCGGAAAGTCCTTCACCGCAGAGACCTTCTCCGGCAGAGGGGCGATGCCGTCCGGTGATACGTCGTGGCCCAGGAACTTGATTCGGCTGGCGCCGAACACGCACTTCTCCGGGTTGACGGTGATGCCGAACCTGTCCAGGCGCTCCAGGACTTGGCGGACGTGGCGGCGGTGTTCCTCGTGGGACGTGCTGGCGACCAGGATGTCGTCGAGGTACACGTAGCAGCACGTCAGGCCGCGCATCACCTCGTCCATGAAGCGCTGGAATGTTTGGCCGGCGTTGCGGAGCCCGAAGCTCATGCGGCACATCTCGAAGAGGCCGAAGGGCGTCACGATCGCCGTCTTCGGAATGTCGGCAGGTTCAACCGGAATCTGATGGTACGCGCGCACGAGGTCTATCTTCGTAAAGACCGTGCAGCCATGCAGATTCGCGGCGAAATCCTGAAGAAACGGTATCGGGTACCGGTCGGGCACAGTTACTTTGTTGAGTGCGCGGTAGTCGCCGCACGGTCGCCACTGTCCGGGTGTTGGTTTCGGCGCCAGGTGCAGCGGCGAGGCCCAGCTGCTTTTGGATGGGCGAGCGACGCCGATCTCCACCATCTTTTCGAACTCGTGTCGAGCGAAGCGGAGCCGGTCCGGCGGCAGGCGGCGGGGGCGCCCGACGCGAGGGGGGCCCCGCGTGACGATATGGTGCGTCACGCCGTGCCGCACGGGTAGGAGCCGGGTGGAGGTAGACGTCACGCGCGGAAATTCGCGCAGCAGGCCACTATAATCACTCTCCGCGCACATCCGGACGCCAACGGAGCTGACGCTAGCGGGAGAGCCGACGACGCACGTTACGCCTTGGTCGGAGCGCAGCACCCGGCGGCGCATGTCGACGGTGAGTCGGTGGAAGGCCAAGAAGTCGGCGCCGAGGATTGGTGTGGAGACATCTGCCACCAGGAATTTCCACTGGAGAGACTGTGCGCCGAGCCGTACGGTGGCGTCGACGGCACCGTGGAGCTGGATGGCGGAGCCATTAGCGGCTTCCAGTCGTGGTGCGTCGCGTTGGGCGGTCACTTGGTCGTCCGGCGTCAGAACACCCGGTGGCAGGACGCTAACCTGGGCGCCGGTGTCGACCAGAAACCTCCAGTTCTTTACCGTGTCGGTAACGTAGAACAGAGGCGCCAGTGGTGGGCCGCCCGTCTTTGCTGGCGCGAGGGCAGACAGGCGAGCTAGTTTCCCTGCCACGAGCAGGGCTGGCGGCACTGGTGGGCGTCAGCGCCGAACCGCTCGTGATACCAGCACAGCCCGTCCGTTGCCGGCGGCTGCCGAGTGTCGGCGCGGGCCGTGCCCGTGCCGGGCGTCGCTGGCCGGCGTGCCGGGCGGGACCTGCTGCGTCGCCGAACGTCTGCGCGGTGGCTCTTGTACGATGCCTCCATCCGCGCGACGGTCGCGGTGAGAGCGGCCACGGCAGCTGTGAGATCCGTCCCTGCCGACTGCTGACAGTTACAGGAGTGGCTGGCCGGCGGAGCGACAGCGGCGGCCGGCGGGGCCACAGCGGCGGCCACCACGGCACCTTGCGACGCCTCCTGGAATCGGTCTGCGGCGCTGGCGAGGTCGTCGATTCCGGTCGATTCTGGCAGGAGGGCCAGGGCAGCGCGCGTGGTC